GTGACTGTGCCGAGAAACATGGAAGGAGGCAATGGCAAAGGGGGTGGGGTGTTAGTGGGGGAGGAGGGGCCAGGTTAAGGGGTTGGATTTTTTTCTAAGATCTGGTGGGGAGCAGAGTGTCTCCAACAGCCCTGCGGTTTCGGGGGTGAGTTGGAGGGTCTGAGGCTGAAACCTGGAGGTCAGTGAGGAGGCTGTTGCCATCAGACAGGGAACCTGTTAGAGGCTGTGGATGTGTAGAGGCCCACTCAGTTCTGATCCTTAATAAGCTGTTTGGTGAGGGGCACAGTGAATGTTCTAGACCTTGGAAGCCCACTATGTGGGGGTCCTATAGCATCCACCCTCAGTAAAGGGATGGAGCATGTGTGGTTCTGCAAGTGGAGACACTTCACATGCTGGGAAATGCTCCTCCTTTTCCTGTGAAACTTGGGCCCTCCTACCCCTAACCCTGGTAACCCTGGGTTACCCTCTTGTCTCCCCACCACAGAACCTAAGTTCTCCTAAGTATCAGTGACAATTAGAACCTCACACAGTCTCCTCCAGGGCAGACACATTTTCGTGCAGGTGTAAAATTAACAAGGTGAATAAAAATCTCAACATAAAGTAAATCGCTTTTCTTGTTTCCTGTAAGTCTATATTAATTTAAAATTTTTTAAGTTTATTTGTTTATTAGAAAGAGAGAGACAGAGAGGACGAGCAGGGGAGGGGCAGAGGGAGAGGGAGAGAGAAAGAATCCCAAGCAGGCTCAGCACCATCATTGCAAAGACCGATGCAGGGCTCAAACTCACGAACCGTGAGATCATGACCTGAGCCTAAACCGAGTCAGACGCTTAACCTACTGAGCCACCAGGTGCCCCACTCTATATTTATTTCTGACTCTGAGTCCCTGAACTGGGCAAAACTCTGTTTTTCTTGGGGTCCTGTCCATGGAGGGGAACTATGAAACCCCATCCAATGCAGGCCTGGTGATAGAGTCTGTTCCTCCATATTTGATCCACCCACATGCCTGAGGGCAACTGCTGCCCTTTCCAGACAGCTGGATGCGAGACTCTTGAGGAGGCTACCCTGAGCCCGAATGTCCTCATGCCCAGGCAGTGTTTCCCTCCGGGGACCTGGGTCTTGGCAGCTGCCCCCACAGTCTTCCACCAGGAAGCAGGACCCAGGCTGCCACTGCCAGGCACCTGCCATCCTCTCTGTCCACCCCTGCCTCCAGCCCCCTTCTGTTGGGTGAGGAGAGAACCCTGGTCCTCGGCTCTCAGCTGCCAGCGCATCTCCCCCTGCAGGTCTCTCGGCCCACTCCAGCTCAGGCTTCCATCATCAGTGCTCTAGGCTCTCCCCAGAACTTAGTCTTTGAGAACAAAGTCCAGAAAGATTTCTACGCTGCTGTCTTTTCTGCACCACCATATCTCTGACAGACTGTGAACATGG